CGTGCTGTCAAACCTACACTAGCAAGGAGATCGGGCTGAAACTATAGCTACAAGCTATCCAAGGATGGTACTATAGAATGTCACCTCAAGGTAGGCCTAGTGGCGTCATCTCTTGGTCAGGCCGGAAACTTATCAATCCACCCTCGTAAAGCAGAGGATAGCGTAGGATCGAGTCGCCTTTAATAAAAAGAAGTCACTTTTATACTCGTAAATGATTAATTTAAAAATTCGGAAAAGATTATCGGCGAATGATGAGGTTACCGTGGATAGAGAAGATTAGAAATAAAGAGGTATTAGAAAGAAAAGGGTAACAGAGGACTCTATGGAAGTCAATAAAAAATAGGCCTGATAGGTTGATATTAAACAGTGGATAGAGCAGATTAATGAGGAGGTATTGGAAGAAATAGGAGAAACAGAGGTCACTATGAAAATCGTTAATAGCCTAGATATATAGGTAGGACACCTTCTCAGGCATGAAAGGTTAAATAGAGACATATTAGAGGCAGAAAAATGAGTTAAGAGGAGTAGAGGTATACCTAGATTAGATTACTGTTCACACAAAACATTAACTTTTTTAGACACAAAAACTATTATTCTGCTTCCCGTTTTCTTTGTAGTTGTAGTTAAGAATATTAGTTGTTCTACTTTAGGGGAAATGCGAAAATAAGCTCAAGATAGGAAAGAGTGGAAGTACGTGCCCAACCAGTCTTAGGACTGACAACCTTATAATGATGATGATCTATGTACTAGTAATAAACAATTGTTTAATGCAAAAACAAACACGATTCTTATGGGCGGAAAATAACGAGAAAGTACCTAACATTGTTATTGTTATGCAATCTAATATATCAACAATATTATTTCCTTTTATCCCTTTTTATTCACACTTTTCCAAATTGCGTAAGGTCAACTACCCACCCGGGGCGCACAACATCTTCCGCGCCTTTTACCAATTAGAACTACTCGTAAGCTGGTACAAATAAAACACAATTAAGCCGTTTTAAAGTTTTTTTTAACAGATACATAAACAATTGGACCATAAAAAGGAAAACAAAAATCTACGGAAAGTTATCACAGCCTCCTCAGTTAATCATTGTCTTCATAAGTATTTTTAGAGTAAACAAATCGGAGAAACGCGTCTCTCACGACATGCATCATGATCGGTTCAACTGGTTGCGCTTCGCATGTACACACATCGCTCTCAGTACATTTTATATACATTAAAACGACAAAAATTATGAGCATGGCCACGTTCATACACCAGATGAATATCATACGGGCAAAAAAAATGGTCATTATAATAGAAGGGATAACAAGGTCGCGTCCCTTCATGTCAGTGACAATTACGTATTCTGACACGTCCACACTGTCATTTATACTGCCTCCAACAAAAGTAATCCATTCGTGCAATGTCTAAAAATTACATTAAAATTATATTTCAATGAGATTGTAAAATGAACTTTTTTGTCATGTTAGCGCGGAAAACTCGTTTTGCGTTCTATGAAATAGGGATAAAATGGCGTCTTTTCAGCCGTGTTTTAGTCGGGAGGAAATGAAATTAGTCTTTTGAGCGCATGCGCTGAAGTTTATGGGCATGCGCAGAAATCAGTTTTTCAATGACAATGTCTTTCTAACCTCTAAGTCATTTACTCTTATTTCGCTAACTATCAATTTAATAACGAGCTTTCCGCCCAAACATGACAGAAACAGGGTTGTTTCAGACTGCATATTTCAGTCTGAAATAACCCTGTTTCTTCCCGCGATACGTAATGTACCATTTCATACTAGTGAAAAAGCAAAATTGTTTTTTTTTTGTTTTACAGTTAGAGAAAACCAGAAGACGTCAAGATCGAATGATAACGGACTGCAATTAACCAAAAAGAGGGTAATTATCCAGAATTGGGGTCCAGACCAAAATCGCTCCAAAAGAATTGGATATTGAAAGATGCGGGAGACAGTTTTTTACTTCATAGATAAAAAAAAATTTTTTGAATGATAATTTTTAAAAATTCACATTGCCGTTAACTGTAAGTACGGGAAGAAATGGGCGAGGAAATCATTTCGGAAGGGGGGGAGGTGTTAAAAGATATACAAGCTTTTAATATCCTTATCTCACGATTGTCACTGCATAAAATTCTTTTATTAATATTAAAAGAATAAATAACTATACATACACCATATACCCTATGATTTATCCTGCCTCAAATATAATTATTGCACCCTCAGAAATGACCAGAAATGGATGAAAAAATTTTTGGAGCGATTTTGGTCTGGATTCCCAATTCTAGGAATTGTATGAAATTTTGAAGTGGCAGCCCTAAAACAGTTCTCATGATGATCTCGCTATCTACAAAATTACGCATAAGCAAAGAAATCGGGGATCATTATCTGTAATTGTCTATTTCTAATCGTAATACAACGGACTCAAATCTATTGCTACGCTACAGGCTATTTACTTACGTCTGTTTGACTAATGTGTGATCCATAAATTCCAACTGCAGTAATATCCAACAAACATATTATCAAACAACAGATCATCCACGGAAACTGGATACTCCTTACTTTATAACGTAAGGACCTTTTAAATATTCCAACTGGAATAGACGTTAAAAGCTTAGGAAACTACCCATGCTACATGACCCATTCTTTACAATCTTTTATCAACCACCCGTAACATATATCAAAACCCCCTCTAGTTTTCAGAAAGTAATTCATAAATGTGCTTTTAAATCATTTTTTACAAACAGAAAGTTTTGAATAGATAATATTAACTACGAGACGAAAACCTATGCCCTCCTCCCCTGTAACTATGCTTGGTATTTTTGAAGATCCACCTGCCCCCCCTCCCCATAGGTCACGTAGTATGGGTACGTTCCCTTATTGTAAAGTACAAAAAAAATTCTATTTGAATTGAAATTGCATATCTCTTGTTGAAATTGTTTAAACTGTAACTCGGTTCTAATAAATTAGTAAAAATTTTTCCGGCCAGTAAGTGAACTTTTCGCCAGCACGAGTAGCGAGCTTCTTCAATCCACATCTAGCAACTGAGATTGAAAGACCTCTGAAGAAGCTTGTCACTCATGCTAAGCGAAACGTTAGGAAGCAACTTCAACCGGCGATAGCTTTTAGACCCGAATTAGGACAGCATGAGCTCATTTCTAATAATATTAAGAAAATTGATCGGTACCTTCTTCAGAATACAGACTATTAATTGCAACTAGGAAAATAATTAAAAAAAGCAATAATAAACAGTTAACATGACGATCCCACCACAATGGAGTGGTTTATCAGATGTTTCGCTAAGAGTTTAAGAGTGGTTAGCATCTTCAGGGACTTCGTTACGTTTCCTGAGGATACAACACTTGTTGGCAAAACCTTGTATAAAAGACTATATCGATCAATCATAACGTCGGCTATAAAGGCCTTAGCCCTTATTTGATCAGAAGGTATCGTATCCCATCATTTGAATGTCGCGTTTCGAAGGAAGGAGCATGCTCACCAAAATACGTCACCAAGGTGTCCCTCGAACCACCAATGTGGACTTTAGTATAGTTGAGACGTTCAAGTTGGCATAGTCCGCAATAAAACTGTTGCATTTACTTTTTATTTTAATTTACTGACTATACTAGAGCGGTTGCTGACAGAACGCATACTTTTACTTACGACAGACGTTTTAGGGAATACCGTAAACACAGAAAAGAGATGTCAGGCAGGAACTGCAGCGGACACTAATAAAAAAAAGAAAAACATTACATCAGTTGATGTGTAAAAGAAAGTGATGCAGACAAGCAGAATTTGAGCATGCTGCCAGCATGGGACTCTAAAGAAAGTTCAACATTCTTAGGAATTCAGGAAGGCAAAGACACTTGTTTAATTGTACATTACGTGTCGAGGGAAGAAGCAGGGGTTTTTCAGACCGCCGTCTAAAACAACCCTGTTTCTTCTCGAGGTACATTAAACTGATAGTTGACGAAATAAGAGTAAATTATTTAGAGGTTAGGAAGTCATTGTATGTGAGTGAAATTGAATAACTGATTTCTGCGCAGGTCTATAAACTTCAGAGCATGCGCACAATGACTAATTTCATGGCTTCCCGATTGAAAAACGGCTCAAGAAAGACCATATCTTCCTTATTTCATAGCTCGCAAATATGACAAAAAAGTATAATTTCAACCAGGCAGTTATAAAGATTTTTTGAGTACCTAAGTATTATTCCTATTATTCAGTTATCTCTTTTTATTTTGTCTGTACCCCTCATGAAGCACTTCCTATCTTAACAAGGTCTGTTCAAAACGCAGCAAACCCAAGTGGAAACAAGAAAGATGATATGTCCATTCTCACAGATAATTTATTACGACTACACCAATTTTGAACGTTCCAACTATAGGTACCTTTTCTAGTTTACCTATAAGAAATACTGCCGCACATATCCAAACGATATCCAATACAGCATATACAACGGCAACAAAATAGGTCATAGACGCTACAGGCGCAGAGCTAGAAAAGTCGTACAATTCTTCAATATCTTTATTTATTACAATTGTTAGTGTTCTTACAAATGATGCAGTAGTTGCGTTCGTGCACTGATTTCCTGCAAGTTACATACAATTATACAATCGAACATAGGATTTGTTATTTACTCCTAATGTTTATTAAATTCCTACATTATTGCATTATTACACTGCTCTTACACGTACAATATTTCTGAAACTATTATCAAGAGTATTTATAGCAGTGTAGCGCTTTATTATTTAAGATTTTGACGAAATTCACAGGGTAAAGATGTTTTGGGCAGAGACATTGATTTAATAAGGTATCATTTTCGGAAAAAATCAGAGTAGAAGTCTTTTGGTAAAAAAACGATTTAGGATGGGGCCATTTGTGTGAAAAAGTGCCAACTGCCCATAATTTTGGTGGCGGTAATTTGTATTAATATTAATATTAATTGTATCATTTTTTCTTGCTAGATTTTAATTTTCGCGTATGAATTTACCATTATTCCAATTTAATAATAACATGACATTGGTACCAATTGGGTATACTTACTGTAAAAATATGTGAAATACCATAATGTTAACAAGTAACTTTTTCCTAACATGGAGTATTGACATGTGTAAACGAGTATTATCCAAATGCATACTAACCAGTGAAAGAAACATTGTATCTGTAAATAAGAAAAATGTAATTGTAATAAGAATTCAAGAATAAAATTCTAAGAATCTAATATTTAGGCAGTTAAGAGATTTTATAAAAAGATCAGTCAACGGGTTACTAGATTTTGGTAAAAACCCTTTCGTAAATCCTACTAATACCATTTAAATAATCTATGTAAGAGAAGTCAATATTAGGAAGAGTGTCAGACAAGGATGCAAACTGTCACCGCTACTTTTTAATCTATATACCGAAGACGCGATCAACATCATTAAAGGCGGTACAACTGTAGGGATTGAAATACAGGGGCAACAAATTAGTATGCTTAGATTTGCAGATGATATAACATGATGATTAGCATCTAGCAAGGAGGAATTAGAGATAGCTTTAAATATTGTATGAATAAATAAAAGTAAAACAAAAATACTGGTATGCAAGGGAAGAAGAAGTAGGGAAAGAGCGATTGTAAAGATAGAAGATGAAAGATTACAAGAAATGACTGATTTTAGGTATGTAGGAAGTCAGTTAAGTCAGGACGGAAGGAATAGTAGAGATATAAAGTAGAGGATAGCGCAGGGTCGAGTCGTTTTTAATAAAAAGTCACTACTATGCTCGCGGAGGCATGAAGGTCTAGTTAGAGACATATTACAGGTAGAAACAGGAGTTAAGAGGAGTAGAGGTATACCTAGATTAGATTACTTAGCTCACTGTAGGAAAGAGTGGAGGTACGTGTCCAATCTGTCTTAGGACTGACGATCTTATGATGCTGAAGAAGACCTGACTCATAAACGTCCGTGCTAAACATACATATGCTAGAATTTTGCATAGAGGTTTCCTTTATGATGTATTCAAGGAAGGGTATTTCGAAATCCAACTCTTAAAGTGGTGAAGGATATAAGGAGGTAGCGGTGAAGTAGCAGGTGCCTAAATTCTATTGGATACTCGCACTGAGCACGCGCAGTACGTCAATTACGGTGTAACCAAGAATGAACAAAACTGACTAGAGATAGGAGCAAGAACTTCAAAAGGCGTCATGGTTTTTAATGAAATTTACAGCATGCATAACTGCACATAAGAACTTTTGAAATTGTTTAGTCATAGTTTACAAAATGAATTAAGAATAATCTTTTGGTCTGCTGTTAATTACATTTGACTTATTTCTGTTTTTATGGCGTTATTTTAACGAACGGAATAATACAGGAAAAATAATTTAAAAACCTGAACAGAAATACTCCCTTTGACAAAAGAGGCCTTATTGTGTATATACCTAATTGTCAGTGATTTGATATTTCATTTTCAATAGGTCATTTGATCATTATTTTATTACAGGTATTTCTCATTTCTTACCTTTTTAAAAAGTACTTACAATTGTCAGTATTGCAGCTGTTATATAACACCAGGGGTTACAGTAACACATTTTAATGCCGTAATAGTACCTAGGTATTTACAGATTTAAAGATTTGTTTGTTAATTATACTACTTTTTTTAACTAAAATTGGGTGACAGCGAACCGCCGACCTGTCAATTAATACCTGAGATTCTGAATGAATATGGCTATTATTAGAGTCAATAATAATCGGGAGGAAAAACAATAAAGCAAACTTTCATGGCTTCCTTATTTTCACGAACCATTAAAATAAGAAATATTTATTACATTTTTAAATAATTGTATTTAATTATTTGTAAAGGAAAGAGTGGGGGTACGTGTCCAATCAGTCTTAGGAATGACGACCTTATGATGATGATTAGTATTATTATTAAGTATTGAATCTGAATATTTATAAAATATTTTTATATAACTAGTAAATCTTTTTATACTTAGTTGCAGTTTAATCACAATAAAACGAAAGAAAAAAAATAATTTATTTCATCACAATCGATACAAAAATAATTGAACAGAATACCTATAAATATATGTTGCTTCTATTTAAATACGTATAACTACTGCTATGTGATTAAACATTTTACAAAATATTTTTTTGTCATTTTTTAAAAGCTTGTCATATTATTAGTTTAATATATCCCTAATGCTACGCAATGTTAATTTTAGTTTAATAGGCACAACATACAGTCGAACTTGGTTATAACGACAACTCTGATTTTAATGAGGAATTTTTCTTTATATTATATCTGTATACCCGGCAAAACTACTGTGGTTGATGATCCATGCCTTTTAACACTAAACCACTGAAATTTTAATTGGTTGGCGGATTTTTAACGTGATGGTTGAGCTAAAACTATTGAAACGGGCCTATAATGTTTATAAACACCAAAAGTTAAATGGTAATAAGTTATCGTTAATCAAAAGCAAGCTTTGCGGGTAACAATATAAAAAAACGATAGAAAAAGGGATGCTTTTGACAATGTTAAATAGGACAAGATGTTAAATATACTTAAAAATATACGGATGAGTTACAGAGATAGAAGAGTGATACTTATATAGATTGTATAAAGAGCAACAGGCGAAGTAAATATTAGGAGACAAGGATGACACTATCACCGCTACTATTTAATGTATAAATCGAAGACGTGATTAACATCATTAAAGACAGTACAACTGTAGGGATAGATATACAGGGGCAAAAGATTAGTATGCTTAGATTTGCAGATGATATAGCAGTATTAGCATGTAGCAAGAAGGAGTTAGAGATAGCTTTAAATAAAATGGAAGCGGTATTGATAAAACAGTATTGTATAAAAATAAATAAAAGTAGAACAAAAATACTGGTATGCAAGGGAAGAAAAAGTAGGGAAAGAGCGAATATAAAGATAGGAGACGAAAAATTAGAAGAAGTGACTGATT